TAGACCTCACGTGAGCTAATAATGAGCAGTTGTATTTTTTTAATTAACTAACGCTAACAAAAAATAATAAATGCTGTGACAAGTCTATTGCTCATTAATAATTAATGCATTAACTAACATTAATTAATGCGATCTTACTGTAAAGTGTTACCATATACATATATTTGAAATGTCGAAGTCTCTCTTGTTTTAATGCAGGACCGTAAGAAGATTGAAATAATCGTGATGGACTACGAGGCCCAGCTTGTGGAAATGCAGCGCTGTTTGCGATTCGTCATCAAAGGTCTTTGTCGACTGCGCTCTCATCCGCTGCTGCGACGGAACAACTACTACACCGGTGACTGGGAGGTACGACGGGCCCTGCAGACCCTTAGCTTAGTGAGCGACCCGGTAGATAGAGCGGAAGAAATCATTCACCACACGCTGGCCAAGTTAGCCAGTCTGCAGAAAGGAATAGACAAGTACTTCACCAAAGACTCGAAAGAGGTGAAGAAGGGCTGTAAGAAGGAGGTGACGGCTGAAGTGCGGAGTCTGGCCAAACAGCTGCACGAAGGTTTAGCGGAGCTCAACTCCATCAGAGAACAGCTGCTCGACGCGAACGGAAACATCTAGGAGTCATCTCAGAGTCGCTTTTGGTTTTCGGCCGTCTGCGCTCCCATTGGTTGTCGCTGCTCATTTGCATAAAACGGAATGGTGATTTTCAGCAAGTTCCGACTCTCATTGAGATGAAGTGAAGTCCAGCTGCTTTGCTGCTGCAAATCGCTGTCAGTGTGAACTGGCTATTGAATTGAGTTCTCTTGATGATTCATGCAATGAGACAAGAATTCCTTGATTCCTCCACATACATATTTAAGAGACTTGTACAAATTTAAGTTTTCATGTTTTCCCATCATGCTTTGCTATATGTGACCCTGGAGCACAAATGCAGTCATAAGGGACACATTTTTGAAATTGAGATTTATGCATCATCTGAAATAATAAATAATCTTTCCATTGATGTATGGTTTGTTAGGATAGGACAATATTTGGCCGAGATACAACTATTTGAAAATCTGGAATCTGAGGGTGCAAAAAAATCTAAATATTGAGAAAATCATCTTTAAAGTTGTCCAAATGAAGTTCTTAGCAATGCATATTACTAATCAAACATTACGTTTTGATATATTTACGGTAGGAAATTTACAAAATATCTTCATGGAACATGATCTTTACTTAATATCCTAATGATTTTTGGCATAAAAGAATAATCTATAATTTTGACCCATACAATGTATTGTTGGCTATTGCTACAAATATACCCCAGCGACTTAACACTGCTTTTGTGCTCCAGGGTTAGATATGGTTCCCATCATGATTGGTGTACTTCCTAAGAACAGTCTTAATTTTTTGTTTCTATCAGACATTTGTAATTTGAATGTGCGCGGCTTCCAGTGTCGATTATGTTTAACTGTACAAACAACTCATTATGTATGCTGCTTGATATTGCAAACTGGTATTTCTTATTATATTTTAATTGACTATCGTGTTCATAAACGCGCTGGTTTGTAGCGCGAATACTTCTACACTTTGTTACCCAGATAGCACACGTACGTCTGCAAGATCTCTTCATCTGGAAAGCATCTGCTGTGTACAAACATCTGACAGACGTCTTTAAGATATCAGTTTCACATATATTCTAAATCATAAACATCTTAAAGACGTCTTCTAAACGTCTATTTGACATCTGATAGGAAACGTCCTATAGACGGATTGCAGATGAGCAAACACTCTAAAAAATACGTCTTGCAGATGTAATGCAGACGTCAAATAGATGTCTCTGTGATGTACTTGTGTGCTATGAGGGTATTGTAGTTATTTCCCTGATATTTCGTTTAGAAGATGTCTTTAAGATGTTTATGATGTAGATTGTATGCAAAACTGACATCTTAAAGACGTCTATCAGATGTTTGGACACAGCAGATGCTTTCCAGATGAAGCCATCTTTAATAGACATCGCAAAATAAGGATATGTAGTCACAAATTATATCACATTGTATTTGTATTGTACAACTCCTATGCTGTGGTCACAGTTTGTGGTTAAAGTCCAGTTTTTTTGTTTACAGTCAGGTTCTGCTTATGGTTGAGAATGACGCCACAGACAAGAATCACTTTTATGTGCAGTAATTGAGATTTTACGCTTTGGATAAACTGCATTTTTATGCAAATCTGTCATATGCACAAATGTTTAGTACACAAATTGTACTATTAACAACCCTAAAACTGTTACACACACACACACTCACACACACTCTCTCACACACACACTCAC